AAGCTGTGAAAGGCTTGGGTGTGAAAGTCACTGACCATGCAGCCATATCCCTAAGTGTGGTGACATTCTCCCAAATCTATTTATACAGTTAGTTCATCTGGGAGGCATTGCTATATAAAAAGCTGTCCTCTGACTCGGTATTTCTGCATGGCCTCATTTATTTACAAAATACTCCATGAAGTTGATATTACTATTATTCCCATGTTTTCAGATTAAGATACTAAGGTTATTTTAGGAAAGTTAAATGGCAAGCCTTAGGTCACTGACTGTGAAAGTCACAGAACTAAGACTAGAGCAAGCTGAGCTGTCAATCATTGCCACTGAGCTGCTTTGGAAGTCATTTAATGTGGCATAAATCTTGCCAGGTATTGTATTAACACTATTGTTACTAAGGTATTTGAGGCAAGTTATCACTGTTAGGATCCTGCCCTCACTAACACACATACGCAGATCCTAACAACCACTCCATGTTAAACAGACCTTGAACTTTTCCATTTTCCTGGCTTTGCCTACCTAACGCTGAGATCACATGTGTGAGCCACCAAGCCCACCACGAAGTCTTTTAGTTGCTTAATAATTATATTAACTTCAGCTCTATAGTCCTTACAGAGGGCCTGGGGAAGCCACTTAAAATACCCAATTAGTCCTTAAGAACCTGGATTCACACGGTTGTGCACACCTACCTGTAATCCCCAGACTCTGGAGGGAAAGGTTGAAGGATCAGAGTTTGAGGCCACCCTGAGCTTTAGAGGAAGACACTGCTCAAGGAGAGAGAAGAAATGGGTACACAGAGAAGACTACCCAGCTGTCAGTCATGGGACTGACGTTTCCTGTACCTCAGCTTCCTCAAATTTAAAATGGACACAATAATAGTCATCTCCTTAACGGGGTTAAGTATTAAGGGTTAAGGATTAAGTATGGTGATGTCGTTTAAAACTGATAGCAAGTCCTGAGAGTGTTAATATTAGTAGAACTGCATGGATTTCTATGGGGAGAATTGTTTAACTGTGGGAATTTGCCATCTGTGACGGTTTTAGGATTTTTTAACTTTCCCCAAGTTTGTTATTTCCATTGCTCCCTTGTTACCTTTTTTAAATCAGTGCTTGAACTGCCCTAATGATCCAATGAGCATTAATTTAGGATGCAGACTTTGTCTTTACACAGCATGGTCGGATTTCATTAGAAATGAGGATTTTTATAACTATCTGGAATTTGAAGTATATTATGAGAATTAGTGAGACAGAGATGAGATGACTTGGATAGGAAGCCTAGTGTTGTGTCGGAGCTGCTTAGAGATCCATTTCTCCTCAGGGATTGTTCGAGTCTCAGGGCTGCTAGGCTTGACTTTGGCACCGCTGCTTATATGATGGAGCAACTTGTGCTTTTCCCAGTGTCTATCTGGCAAAAGGCAAATGCTGCAGACCTTGTCTTTATGATATTTTATTTGGGAACAATAATAAATTATCAAAAAAATGTTCTCCTCAAGCCAAATTCTAGGTCTCACTGGGCTGTGAGAATCCCTTCTCTCAGGGAGAAGTTGGCCACATTTTAAACCTTGTGCATCACTGACTCATAAACTTCACTGAATTAAGAAATGGCAGTAAGAGTCATGGTGATGTGGCAAAAGACATCAGCACCGTTTATCAGAAACCATCCATTTGGAGGGAACATAGCAGTTCAGTTCCCAAATCAAATCAAATCAAACAAGAATGTCTACAGACATGACCTTTGGCCAAACAAGATGAAGTGTGGCTACAGTGAGAAATAGACAGTCAACCACATTTCTCCACTGACCACAGAGAACAGCCACAGAACGGTTTGAACAAGGCTGCATCCAGTCCACCCTCCACAGAGAGGGGCTTTCAAATGCACTCATAATCTGCCCTGTTTCTTAGTCCTTACACTACCACCTGCATCCCAAATCACTGTGAGCTGGGCTACCTCTGAAAGATTTCAGTCAAAACAAATAATATTTTAAGGAAAGGACTAACCAGTTTCCACATGGACCAATGTTTATATCTAAACATTGGTTTTTGTTTTATTTTTAACTTTGCCCGTGATTTTTTTTTCAAATAACGCAGTTAGACTGCCTTTGCCCGAGTCCATGGGATTTTACTTGCCAAGTTATATTTCATGTAAAATTCAGTGATGTGTATGGCATTTTAAGAAAATCAACAGATTCTACTTTCTGTTATGAATTCAATCGCCTTTTTATTAGGTTAAAAGCAATAAGAAGTTTAATACAAAGTCATCTATTTTAAGGAAATACATGAATTATTTTCAGATCTGGACCTTTTTTCTCCTTTATACTAAGCTGAAATCAGACTGTACATAGAAAGTTATCAATAATAGAGATAGTTTTAGATAAATGTATTTTTGTAGTCCTTTCCTTATTCAGTAATAAAAACCAGCCAAGTGTGGTGGCTCTTGCCCATAAATCCAGCATTTCAGAGGATGAGAAAGAAGGAATATAGTGAGTTAGAGGCCATCCTTGGCTACACGGTGAATTTCAGGACAGCCTAGTAAGACTGTCTCAAATAAACAAATAAAAAGTGGACACACACATACACACAAAAGTCAACACAAGAGAATATAAAGTGATGTTAATCCCATGATATCTTGATATTTCCATACCTGCATACATGCTTGTCAAACTGAGTTAGCCATATATGAACAATCTAAATGTCAAAAAGAAGTAAGCATATTCATACCTAAATATACTTAGACAAAGTAATTTCCATTTTTCTAAAGGTAAATATTTAAACATGTTGTAAAATCATATCATACATGCTATATCTGTTATTCAATAAATTAATAGAAACAGGATGTAAAGTAGTAAATACTAGTGTAATTGAGTCAGTGATAATAATCAAAACTTTCATCTTAGACTGGTTAAAACCCGATACAAGTGAACCTGAGAATGCCCATGGCTATTATATATATATATATATATATTTGTTTTGCTTGGTTTGATTTGAGACTGGATTTTATACTGCCTAGACTAGTCTTGAACCCATGGACTCAACTGATCCTTTGATCTTTGCCTCCCAAGTGTCTAGGGCTACAAATGTATACCTAGATGAATATATTGTTAAAAAGGATTTAGATTCTTCCTTGAAAATGATAACATCAAGAGTTACATAATAAGTCATGCGTCTACTAAGAAAGAAAGCAAAATTATAATGATGGGCCCGCAGGATTGCTCATCACACAAGCCTGGCACCATGAGTTTGATCTGTCCCTAGAACCACCTAAAGGGAGAAGGAGAGATCTGACCACAGAGTTGTCCTCTGACCTTTACACATAGGCTGTGCACACATCCTTCCTCCACAGTTATACACACACGTGATGATAGATAAGTTAAAAAAAATAATGTTACTAAGAAGGAGAACATGGACTTTGTACTGAATTAAGAAATGTCAAGAGCTTTAGGTGGGAGAAAGGAGGGGCTTTCATGCAAATATTAATGTAACCATTTTAAAGATCTTAAAAGGGCATTGCTTTCTGTTTTCAATCTGTTAATTTTCTGTACCGTGCAAATATACAGAAATTCGAATCAGTCAACAATACAGTTACTCTCTGGGGTCATCACAACAGATACAGTGTGATGGAAATTACCTGCCACTCTTATGTGATAATGATTAGATGATCAAGATGACCCTCTTTAGAGCAATGAGCCACAATTCTTTGCATTGCTGGCTGATACAGTGCGTGGCTGTGCTCGGGTCTCTTTCTTTCCATAAGGTAGGTGAGTTTACAGAGTCCCAGACAGTGTTATTGACTGCACGGTGCCAATTCTCATGTGTGAACCATTAGAATGAAGTAAGGCCAGACCAGGAGCTTCCCCATACCATTCGTGTCAGGCTGGACAAGCATGACCTGGAAGCACGGCTTCAGCATCAGGAACAACATGCTCCTCGGGGCTTACAGACTAGCTAAGGAAGTTCTGACATGAGATTGAGTTGTGAAGGAAAAAAATCTAACCTAGTTCCTAATGGCCTCCTTCCACCCTTCAAATCGCAGAACTAATGGAACCTCTTCTCTCAGCTTGGTTGGGGATCCCTCCCTCGGTCCCCTCTAACTTGCTCTCTGTAGCACTGTGTGTTTCTCCAGTGCAGTCAGAACCCATGGCGTTTTGTTTCCTCAGATAATCCAATGGAGATGAGGGCAAGGACTTCAGCATTTGAATTCATAAGAACCAACAGAACCCAGGTTGTAGTATGTACTTAGGGATTATTAATTGAGTTGACCTAGGGAAATCCGTTCTTACCTCTTGTTTGAACTCATCTGCTTAATTACTTTCAAAGGCGTGGCAGACAGTTGTGTAATACACTATGGATGCTACAAAGAAACAACCCCCCAGTCACAATGCCATTTGATATGTGTCCCTAAAGGTAAAATTAGCAAAGATCCAAGAATTAGAGACAGTCTGTATGTCTATTAGAAAAGGCATTTGATTTTGACAGTGACAGATGGGCAAACACAGGAACAAAGGGAACATTGGTAGGTCAGGTCCTAAGAAACAGGGAAGTACACGCAGTGACAAGTGAACTGTGGCAGAGGCAGAGTTTGAGGAGAGGGGTGACAAGCAGCTTGTGCTGTACTGAGGAACCTAGAATGTGGCATCGCCATCACTGGAACAGGAAAAGTAGGGCCTTTAAAACAGACAAGCAGTGAAATCAGACCTAGTTAGACTCGACATTCAGCCACCACTGCGGAAGAAAATGTGCTCCATGAGTACTCTATTCGCTATACTATAGGCTGCACCGCCTATATGCCTCACGCTAATGCTATTAACACTTGTTACGTTAAAGCTAGTGGAGCAGAAGTCAAATGAACAGCACACACATTTCCTGTCCCCAGGGTGCTTGCGTGCCAGTTATCTGATACAGCTTCCTTAAGTCCCTTGAAATTTAACATATTTTTTCTCTGAAACTTAATCTTTTAAAAGAGTATTTCTGTGTTAATTTCACAAAAATTTTGTAAGAGACATTCCATACCTGAGACACTCTGCCTGTTGGAATCTGAGTCCCCATTACTGGAATTAGAATTATTGGAAGAGTTGTTGTCAACCCCTCCCAGAAGGGGGCGCAAGTGGCTTACTGAGACTTGTTCAATGAAAGATGTTCCATACTTGCGAAAGTACCACCATTCAAATATCTAGAACAGAAAAATAATGTGTGTTTATGACCTCAGTTTGCATTTGTAATTTCAAGACACATTCCCTTAATCTATGTTTGCTATTTCTGTACACCTTTCAAATATATTTAATTCAGTCTAATAGATTTGAATAATTAACACCAATAATAGTTAAAAATTAATTAAAAATTAGTTAAAAATGGTTGTTCTCTGATGAAGAGTTATTTTCAAAAAGGATATATAACTACAATGGCAGATAAAGGAATATTGTTTAGGTGTATTCCAAATTATTTTCCTCTAAGTAAATATAATATTCAAATAACAAAATCATCTTAGCTAAAAGACAACTCTAGAAATGCATACAGATACAACAGTTTTCCCAAAGTATACCTTATAAAGTGTTTTAGTTCTTGACATTTTGTATTTTTATAAAATGATACCCACCATAAAAAACTTTTAAAAAATGTTTTAATTGTAAAAATAAGACTTCTTTTGAGAAATGTTGACTTTGGCAAACAAACGAACACGGGGAAGTGAGACCTAGTGGCATGCTGCTTCAGAGATGGAGGCAAGAGTATCACGTGAACCCAGGGTTGAAGGTCAGCCTGAGTAACATAGTGACACCTTGTCTCCCCCACCCCCCCCCCCCCCCCCCCGCCCTGCCCCGGTTTTTTTGAGACCCGGTTTCTCTGTGTAGTTTTGGTGCCTGTCCTGTATCTCGCTCTGTAGACCAGGCTGGCCTCAAACTCACAGAGATTCTCCTGGCTCTGCCTCCCGAGTGCTGGGATTAAAGGCGTGCGCCACCACCGCCCGCCCTATGACACTTGGTCTTAAAAAAAGTAGTCATTTCATGCACTCAATTCCTGAAACTTACCAGTCCCCCTCTTGCTAAGTGCTACACAACAAGCATTTGCTGTATATCATAAATGTTTCTTAGTCCAAAGCCTTCCTGATTATGTTGAATTCCAAAGGAGGAGAGAAATAGCTGTCCTTAAAAAACAAACCAGTCCTACCTATATGGCTAACTGAAGTCAGAGCTTCCTGAGCATAGGAAAAGCAAGTGCTCTTCCCCTCTCTACTTCCAGCTATTCCATGCTGCTCTCTCCATCCTTTTCTCCCTACCCTATCTAACCACAGTTTGTTCTTCCCCAGTCATATATCACTCAATAGAAGAAATTTTAGAATAGCTACTAGCTGGGCCGTGGTGGCACACACCTTTAATCCCAGCACTCAGGAGGCAGAGACAGGCGGATCTCTGAGTTTGAGCCTAGCCTGGTCTAGACAGTAAGTTCCAGGACAGCCAGGGCTCCACAGAGAAACTCTGTGGGATGGGGGACAGAATAAAAGAATAGCTACTAGCCAAACATAGTGGCCCAGGCCTTAATCGCAGCACTCAGGAGGCCAAGGTAAATGGGTCATAAGTTCCAGAGCAGTGAGCCCCTGACTCAAACAAGCAAAAGGCCAGGTAGGTTGACTCACACTTTTAATCTCAGCAATAAATACAGAGGCTAAGACAAGAGGACTGTCATGAGTTCCAGGACAGCTTGGCTGCAGAAATCAAAAGAAAACAACCCCCCCCCAAAAAAAAAACCCAGAATAACTACATGCCTGAGTCTCAAAGGATAGCTGTGCTATTCTTTATATATGCAATGTACAATTAACATAGAATTGAATATACATATATCCTTGTTTATTTCATTTAAAAAGTTTCATATCTGCTCCAGAATGGGCATTGGGCTATTATTGAAAAACTGGTGTTTTCTCATTTATGTTCTACTGGATGCAAACGACAGGAAGGGCATCTATGAAGACCAAAGGCAAGTACCAGCCAAACCAAACGCTCCCAGTCATATATGGGATACCCTGATTAGTTACAGGAGTTACTTCTCACACTACAGTGTTTAAGGAGAATACAGTTTGAAGGTTACGTGGATATGGGACTAATTTGTGTACAGGAGGAAGAAAGTTCAAGAATAGTAAATGGGAGCACAAAAGTCCTGGTGCCCACAAGTCTCCAGAGAAACAGGAATATTAAGCATGCATGATTTCCTCTTGCTGTGGGATAATGCTTTAGTACACTGGTTTAATAAAATGCTGATTGGCCAGTAGCCAGGCAGGAAGTATAGGTGAGATAAGCAGACAAAAAGAGAATTCTGGGAAGAAGAAGGCTGAGTCAGGAGATGCCAGCCCACCATCTGGGAGCAGCATGTAATGGCACACAGGTAAAGCCACGGAAAACATGGCGACATACAGATGAACAGAAATGGCCTGAGTTTAAGTGCAAGAGCTAGTCAGTAGTAAGCCTGAGGTAATGGCCAAGCAGTTTTAATTACTATAAACCTCTTTGTTTACTTGGGTCTGAGCGGCTGTGGACCAGGTGGGACACAGGAAAACTCTCAGCTACATCCTTTCAACATAAAGGATATAAAACCTGTTTTCCACCCAGAAAGCTTAGAATTTGAAGTGATTAACACCCTGGTGATCTGCATTCTCAAGGACTAGACCATATCAAGCTCCCACAACCAGGACCTGAAGTAGACAGTAAAGTCTAAATAACCCTTACATTATCTATGTAGCCAGGGGCTCCCCCAAGCTCCCAAAACCAGGACCTGAGATGGATAGTAAAGTCTAAATAACCCTTACATTATCTATGTAAACAGGGGCTCCACCAAGCTCCCACAACCAGGACTGGAGGTGACTAACAGCCCAAATGACCACTACAATATCTGCATGACTGAGACCACATCAGATCCTTCCCTAGGCCCTCATACTAATACAGGTAGTCTATTTCTAGAACACATCTTCTTGGAAGAAATGACATGAACCCTGAGTTGAGTTTCAATGTAATTACACTTCTTTGTGCAGCAGGGATTATATTACACCAGGAAACTTTTCCCCAAATTTTACTGTGTATAAATATGCTGGCAATAAATGGCCAGGCAGCAGACTCTCCAGAAGTTTCATGCGGCCTGATGAAGTCAAGCTAAACAGAGATTTCATTCTTTCCTCTTCACAGGTGCAGCTGTGAGCCTGCAGGGGCCCCCACAGGTAAACATACAGATTATGGTTCCATAAGGACGTCTATAGCGCCAAGCAACTTATGTGATTTATTTGGATACCAGTACCTTCAACCATAAAATGGAAATCATATTTATCTTCAAGAGTCCTCGGTTTTCATACCAGCTCAGTGTGAAGCACCCACTTCAGTGTCTGGTCCACAGTGAGTTCTCACAAGTGCCATCACAGTACGACTTACTATGTAAGTGGCTTGTCCACCATACCCAAGGGTGGAACACCTGTGAGTCCTATGGGGGGGGGGGGACTCTTTTTGATGGTTGTTTTGTAGCATCCTCCAAAACGAAACATTTCTTCCTAGAGGGAAGATGGTTAAGAGATAGGATGTTCTAAAGGGAGGTAAAACATCCCATCCTTCAGGCAAGCTCACTGAAACTTGGCAAGTAAATGACTCAGAGCTTCAGGAAGCTTGAACTGACTCGCTTTACCAGGCCCCTCATGCCTCATGCTTATATAAGCAGTAATGATGCTGAGAGACAGTCAGACCAGCCAAGCAGCCTGGAAAGGACACTTTTCAGTCTGTCAAGCTGCCTGCAAGTTGTGCAGTGTGCTTCAGGTGTCTAGCTTTTGTGAGCCATAAGCCATGCTGAGCTGAGTTCTTGGTGATGGGAGTCATCCCTGCTCCTGGAAGGAACCTCTCACCTAAGTAACCCCAAAGGCTTAGTTCTGCAAGATTGACTTAGTCATGTCCTTATTGGTCTGGCATTGCTTCCATGTCTGGGGTGAGCAGATGTTTATTCACAGTTCCCCAAGAACGGTGTCGTGCATACTGCTCCACAGTTCAGTTAGTGCAGCATCTTCTCTGTCACTAGGATGGTAACAGAAAGCATTGTGACAAGGTAGTCTACAAAGCTCTCAAGAGGCCTGCCTCAATTACAAGAGGATGAACGTTCTGAAGACCCCCTTATCATTGGTCACAGAACTGGCAGTGGTTCCCAATCAGTAGCAATGAAGTTTTTGCTCCACTTCCCACTGTGTTATGCTATGGGAACACCTACTGTGCCACATTTCATCACACAGCATCAAGTATTCCTACCTACCCATGAGTGATAGCCCAGGGTTACAACAATCACGTCCCTGCACTGAAGTCCATACCACAGACCCACAGTGCCCCTGACATGCCAATATCCATCGCATACACAAAACCTTGAGATTTCAAATTCCTTAGTTCCTCTAGCAGAAACACAGACCAACACTAAAATGGACCTCACAAAACTATGTAGGGAATCCACTTACAGATGAGGAACAAAGACTGTTCATCAAGATGGGTGACCTGACCTGAATTGCAAAGCTAATTAAATTGTTGCTTAGCCTGAAGGCCCAGCTCTCTGCCACTCCTTCTAAACCTCTTTATTAAACAAAATAAAAAATAAATAACAATGCTTCATTTAAACCAGAACTGACACACACACACACACACACACACACACACACACACAGTCCTTCACTTCCCTCTAAGTGTCCTCTGACAGTCTCCCTATGCTTTCTAGTTAGAAAACCAATTCAGAAGCAGTCTATCAAATGTGACCAGATAATTCAGCCCAAGGGGAAAATGACTCCAACTGACTGAACATTTGCATTAGAACTCAAGACGGCCCTTCTCTCCATACCTTCCACTTTGAATGCAGAACTAACAAGTAGACAGGTGAAGACAGGTTACTCATGAAGGTGTTTAGGGGCAGGGAGCTGTGTCTTCCCAGACTTGTCATTCATCAGGACTACCATTCCATCTGTGTAGAGGAGACACTAGTATAAAGAATGGCCCCTGTCCTTACAGTGTGTATCAAAAGCAAAGGAAGAAAGGAAGGACTCGCAGCTATCCCAAACTTCAAACCAAGCCCTTTCATTTGAGGTAGCCACATATTCCAAAACTCATAAGACTTGGAGGGAGCACTTTGCAATATTTTTAAAGTGCTGAGCAGATCCAAATGGGCAGATGGTATTAT